ATTATTAGGGACATGTGTGGTCACCTAAGCAATGGTAGGACACCTTAGAAGTAACCCTAATGTCCTAGATCCTTTTATCTGAGGCAACCGTTTCGAGGAAACTGGATCTTTTAGACAGAAGGGCGACCTCTAAGACACCCTATACTTGATGACCACGTTCGAGGCAACGAGTGAAGCGTACCCTAAGGAGTGGCATGTGCTTTGTGTGTTGTTTTTCAGTTAAGGTTATCTTGTATGTTATTTGTGAGCTACGGATTAATTTTATTTACATACATTCTTTCATGCATTTAACAGTTAGGGGTGCGGAAAGTAAATTGCAGAAATGTAAATTCTAACTATTACAAGGCGCGGGTCTATACATCGCCAAAAAACAAAGACCCGTTTTGGTAAAGAAGTACGAGAAATTAAATAAAGCGGTAAAAACCTATTTAACTATTACATATCTGGAGACTGTTACATAAATAATCAAAATAAATGCGCGCGAGAATTAAATCGGGAACGTCTTAAGGGTTTTGACCCTTTTAAGAAAAGAAATGAATTTTTTGTCCTTTTCGTGATTAAATGAGATTAAAACTAATGATTAAATTAATTAATTTATTTATTAAAAGAAAAAATGTTTTTGCGTTTTTATGTTTTTAATGAAAATAAAATAAAGGAATTAAAATTAAAAGTTAATAAACCTAATTCTAAATTTATTTTAATTATTAAGAAAAAAGGTTAAAGTTTGCCTAATTACAATTAATTCAATTTATTAGTATTTATTTACAAAAATAAAATGAAATTAATGATAATAATAATATTAGTTCTTTTTTTGATTTTTTATGAAAAATAGTTAGTTATGTTAATAGTTAATAAAAGGGAAAAAATAAAATAAGACAAACAAAATATAAAAATGACAAAATAAAAATTGCAAACCCAAGGGGGGTTTTGGACCAGATTGGGGTGTTTTGATTGGAATCTGAAACCCATCAAGAAACCAGCTTTGTTTGACTTTGGAGATTGCCTGTGCCTGTATTGACCTGAGAACATGATGCTCCTTCCCTTGTGGCCATTGGATTTGCACTTGGAGACACTTGGCGCTTTGGATTTGTGAGGCACATGATAAGCCTTCTTTGAAGCCTGCACACAAGTATGTAAGAAAAAATAATATGGGATTTTGAGGGGACCTGGGAATACTTACAGTGCTTGATAATGGACCTTAGGACGTGACAAGGGTTTCTTTAGCTTCAGGGTATGGCAAAGAAGAGAGTCACGTTCTCCTTTTGGCCTGAAAATGCTTGCAAAACTCCTTTTGATCTCACACTTTTTTTGACAAATTTTGAACTTTGCTCTGGCCGTTTGTGCACTTTTTTTCGTTTTTCAATGAGGCTTGCAGGGCTTGTATATATAGTAATGAGTGAGAATCAGTCACTGTTATGAGCTCTTAACCATTGCAATTAAACTTTGGATTTCTCCATAACCACCATTAAAGGAACTTGCCAATTTTTGTTCAATTTTGAATTTCACGCTTGAAATAGGATGTACATGAAATTGGTATGTGAATTATGATGTATCAAGGCCATTCAAACTCAAAGATATCCCTTAATTAATTTCTTTGATTTTTATTTGAATTTTAAAGATTTAAAATGAATTAAATCAAATAAAATTAAATAAAAATAGAAAAATTAATTTTTAAACTTGAAATAAAACATGGGACACGTGGGTGGCATGGCATAGCTGAATCAAGTGGAAAAAGTGGGCCCTTTTTGTCAAAAATTGAAGTTTCAAGGATAGTTGACTTTTGCCATTTCACAAAAATTTCCCAACTTCTCCAATGCATATCTTGCTCAATTTTGATCATATGAACATGTTCTTGGACATTTTGGAAAGGTCTTGAAGTCCTCTAACCAATTCCTTTGGTCCCATGTCATTTTGGTTTACCAATATCAAGTTATGGTCTTTGACTTAAAGTGCCTTTTTGTTGACTTTTGAAAATGACCTATAATGTTGAAATTGATAACTTTTTGTGAGAGCATTTCTTGGACTTGGAATGTAAAGATGAATCGTAGGAAATGTCCTCCCCTTCAAAATGAGCATTGGATGGGATTTTTCTGATGAACCATGAAAAAGTCATGCCTTGGTCAAGTTACAGTTGACTTTTCAACTGTCCAAAAATAGAAACTTTTGTATCTTGATGATTTTTGAGCCATTCTTGTGGAATCATGGTCAAGACTTGACCAAATGATGATTGTGGCTTCAAAATAAGATGTTGACCAAAAATTTTGACTTTTGATTGCCAAATGACCATTTTGCCCCTATAGTTGACTGTGGGGCAATTAGGGTTTTTGACTGTGCAACTTGACCTTGTGAGCCTTGAAACTTGACATGTAGGTGCTTGACAATGTATATGAGCATATGGGACTTGATTGAGCCCTTGAAAACCTCAACTTACTTGCAAGAACCAAAACCCTAATTTGACTGGCTTAGGAGGGTGCTTGACTGTGTAGCCCTTGAGTAGACTTTGAACTTTTTGAGGTGATGCTTGTCAAAACTTTGAAGAATATGGGAGGGCAAATTTTGGGGTACAACAAAATGGTAAGATAATATTGACTCAGAGATGGTGGTAAACATCAATATTGAGGCAGGTAACGAATGATTGACATTAATACTTATGACTTGAAATAAATGATTGACATATGCACTTACCATTGAGATCAAAGGATTGACATCAGCACTTATGGTTGAGAACAAATGGTTGACATCAACACTTATGGCTGAGAACAAAAGATTTAACATCAATACTTATGATTGAGAACAAAAGATTTAACATCAACACTTATGGTTGGGAATAAAGGGTTGACATCAACGCTTAGAGCTGGGAAAAAATGATTGACATTAGCGCTTATGGCTGGGAACAAAGGATTGACACCAGTGCTTATGAATGGTAACAAAGGATTAACATCATCACTTTTGGCTGGGAACAAATTATTAACATTAACGCTTATGGATGGGAACAAATGATTGACATCAGTGCTTATGGCTAGAAACAAATGATTGACATTGAAACAACCGGGTAAAAAAATCATCAAGAAGAAATCAATGAAGTTTCCATCGAATGTTTTTTTATCCCACATGAAGGGAAAGGTAGACATTGAGTAAAACTGAGAAGGGTGAAATCACGATCAAACGATCGAGAGATCAGGTAAGAGAGTCTGTTACTCGAGGGGAAGGTATTAGTACCCCACACCCCCGTAGTATCCTACGGTATCAAGTTTTGTTGTTCTAATCAAAGAGTGTGTTCAAATCTAATGCGTAAGAGCTAAAAAGGAAATGAAAAGAGGGAATGCATGCGAAAGAAAACACGAGGAAAAGAAGGAATTATTTACAAAGTTTCAATCGGCTGAGTCCCATGACCAGATGCCTGCCTATGTGTCTATATTAAGGAATAAGAGCGTCGTAGTTTGGCTCACATGTTTTGGTTTGTTTTGTGTTTTTTAATGAAAAATATTAATTTCTCCTTCTTCTGCAGCTCGACCTTTGGAGACTCACGCGTCAACACATAAGTGAATTAACATGTTTACCTAACAAGGTATTTGCAAAGAAAAATGCTCGAAGGCAGATAATGCTACATTCATGCTCATTTAGACATAGTGCCACCTGACATTTGAGGATTTACGCGTCGTGTTGCATAGAGTAGAATTAACACATCATTTTGAAGTTTGAAAGAAAGGTCTGAAGGTGAGAAGAGTTTGCATTGGTTGATGTTTTTTACCTTGAAAAAGAATTTGAAAGTTGTTAGATGTTTTATGCATTTGCCAAGAAAAAGTTTTTAGTCTTAAGGATTTAAAAAGAAAGAAAAACATCTAAGGGAGGCTATCTAGTTCTACCCCTAATGTTATCATACAATGATTGATCCTAAGGTTGAGTTTGAAAGGGAAATCCTAACTATGTTAGCATACCAAAAAACCTAAGGGCGAGGATAACTATCCTATAGGGAATATGCAAAGATCGAAGTCGTTATCTTAATTCTAATTGAGTGTCATCATCGATCATCAACAAAGGAAAATGATAAAATCCTATGAGGATCATGCAAAGATCGAATTCGTTATCTCAATTCTAATTGAGTGACATCATCGATCAACAAAAGAATAAAGCCATGAAATCCTATGGAGAGCATGCAAAGATCGAAGTCGTTATCTCAATTCTAATTGAGTGACATCATCAATCGTCAATAAAGGAGGCAAACACAAGCACAAACATAAGTAGCAAATAAGTGCGGAATGCCTGCTACAAGTCTTTAAACAAAGACTTCGAGTGCACACTCTTTACTATCACACTTCTCATTATATCTAGAAAGCGGTAAAATGCAGAAAAATAAACCAGAATTAGAATGATACCAAACAAACAAGAGTTTGTAGCAAAGCAAGCAAAGCAGAGAAACCCGAAAAACTTCGAGTAAGCTTCACCAAACAACAAAAAAGATTCAGAAATCAAATGCTCATAATTAGAGTCAAGGCATCATCGTTGTGAAAATAAATCAAAATCGGAAACTCAAGCATAACCGCATATCACATAATAATCCTGCATAAGATTCAGATCTCAGCAAGCAAAAGTGAAACACAAATCTCAAATAATGAGATAATCATAAATTAATTCTTAAAATCAAATAAAAAAATCTAACAATTTTTTATTGATTTTATCATTTTTTTTTATCATAGAAAAATTTAGAGAAAGACTCTAAATCTAATAAGAAGAAGCAAGGATCAAGGGGTGTATTATCTGTATCAGGAAGTAGTAGCAAAAAGGCACTAGGGCTCAATCTGCAATGTCTAATAAGCCAATTTTTTTTGTACCAATGGCTTCAGGCTGTCAAAAATACTTGCGTGTGGGCTCATAGAAAAATAAAAGTCGCCCGATCAAATATCAAACCCAAACACACAAGGTCCTACTTTGTTTTATTCAACGTTATTTATTTGATAACTATTCAGATTTTTATATTACTGATTATTACAAGAAAATAAAAAATAAAAACAATACAAAAAGAAATTGAAAGAGGAATAGGGATAGAGGTTGTGACGACTGAACTTCTATGGACAAAGCTATTCTCTGACGACGGCGCCGTTCACAAAATGCTCTTCTCTGATTTCCATCCGCCGTCGGTGTTCGTCTCTGTCCTCACTTTCGCGACCGCTATCTCATCTCTTATCTCACGTAGTGAACTCCTCTGTCCCTCTCTTCAGATTCCGCGATGCAGCTCAAAAAAAAGAAACCTCGTCTTTCATCTCTTCTTCGCTCAAACTCAGCCGTCTAATCATCTCTCACCATCATCAACTCCATGATTCTTCTCCGCCTTTGCTTCTATTTTCTTTCGCATCAGTCAGTAGCGGCCAAGCTCCATCATCTTTGCGCGATTCGGTTCCACAATCGTTACATTCGAACAAAAACAAATTACGCATAGAAAACGGAAATAGGTGAAAATTGAGCTTGAATCGGAGATGATTAGAATACCAGAGGTGAGATAATAATCATTCTGCTTTACTCTTTTTGTTCTTCTTCTTCCAATTCTGATTCTATTTCGATTATCATTGTGAAATTCCTCTTGCATTTTCTTCTGCGATCGTTGTATGAAATTGTTGATCAATGATGATGCAATTTGTTGCATGAACTTGACGATGATTGAGTGTTTGAGAGGTGTTTGATGATTGTTGTGATGCAGAGAGGAGAGTGATGAAGTTGTTGAAGTTGTGGATGAACGCAGGTTGATGATGATTGAGAGATTTTTTCCCAGATATTTTTGGTGATTCTTCTAGAAGTTGAAGAATGATGAAGATGAATATGATAGGAGAAGAGAGAATTTGGGAGAGTTTTTCTGTGAGTTTTTGTGTGATTCTTCTGCAGAAATTGAAGAATGAGCCATGAATGGTGGATAACTGCAGAAGAAGAATGAAGAAAGGTTGAAGGTGCAGAGAGTTTTTCTGGTTTTTTCTGAGGGTGATTCTTCAGAGAATTCAAGAATGAATCGATTGAGAGGTAATTTTCTGTTATATGATTAGAAGGTTAGTTACAAATAGATGGATCTCAGCCTTTGGATCGAAATTCTGTTAGAGGATCTAAGGTTTGAGGTTGAGCAGTTAGAGAGGTTTAGAAATATGTTATGAATTAGAAAGTTAGTTGTTAGTTTGAATTTTGTTTGAGTGAGCTGAAATATTATTTCTAATTTTTTTTTTATATTCTCAATTGTGAACTAAATCATTCTGATGCCTCTCTATTTATCTCCTGGTTTTTCTGATTTATTTTGAAGCAAGGTTTTGGCGAACGTGCAACGAGTTGTTAATGCAGGAGCATAGCTTCCTTGAACTTATATTGATGTAGCATTGGCTTGAAGCAAGTCTGCAACTGGTTTATGGTAATGTTGAACTTAATTTTCCTGATAAATTTTCTCTCATTTTCCATTTTGTATTTCTGATATGATAAATGATAAATTGGCCAATAGTTTTGAATTGTTTTCTCTGAACTGGTTTTTATGGTCTGGTTTGATACCTGAACAGGGCCGCTGATGTTGCAGCTCTGGAGTTTCCCTTTTTATTCTCCATCACATTTTTTGCTTGATAATGTAGGGCATAATAAACGTGTATGTGTTTGTAGGTTTTATGGATAACCATAATTTTCAAGTATGCGGGACTGGTTTTAGCAAGGCCTCAGTTTGGACATTGAGAAACATTTAACAAAGGCATTGCAAGTTGGGTGAAGTTGGAGCATGAATCAAGGATGCTGAACCCATGGATGTTATTTGAGATGGAGTTAAAGACATGGTTGTGAAGGTTGAAGGCATGGAAAGTTAAGTTTTAATAGGTTTTCCATGTAATGTATTTTCAAGTGGTAATGATGATTTGAACTTGAAACATGGTGATGTAATATGATATTGTAATGGATTAAGAACTTTGAAATGGAATTTGTTATAACCCGTTTAAAAATGAGAGTCGCCATCATTAATTTTTTCCCAGGGAAGAGAATATAAAGGATAATCCTAATTTGGTTAGAGATTCTAAGTTGTTGACTCGTTTTCAGATGAAGGAAAGATGTTAGGCACCCCTCATCTACCTTGTTCACAAGGATATTAGGGTTTAGATTTATGGTTTAGGAAATAGGGTATTAATTTTATTTGGGGAAGTCGCTATGATTTTAAGTCGTATGTCTACGTATCCTCTTATGAGGAATCAAAATCCCAATTCATAGTTCATAGTTGTTGGTTGATGTTTTTTATGGATTACGAAAACATCTCGTATTATCTTTGAGCCAAGTCTGAGTTTGTAAATCGTGGAGGTGTTAGACGAAGTTCGCAGTTAATGAAAAATATCTCCATAATCTTTTTGAAAATATATCTTGGATTTATTAAATTAGCGGAAAATTGTTAGTAGTTTGACTGGTTAGATATCTTTTAAAAATATTAATATATGGAAGAAAATCTTTTGAATGTACGAGGAAAAATAATTTTAATGCAATTAAAAAATATTTGAATGGGTTAGTAAAAAGATTTGAATTAATAAATAAATAAATTTAGAATTTATTATAAATATATTAATAAAATAAAAATAAATAAATAAAAAGAATAAATAAATAAAATTTAAAAATAAATTAATTTTAAATATAAAACGCAAGGGGGTGTATTTTTAGTTTGTTAGTAAAAGGCGGGGGGGTCTGGTAAGTAAGTGCTCAAATCCAGATATTGGACTTGGCCCGATAGCGCGGGAGGGGTGTAGGAATTAAGGACTAGGCCCAAAACAAAATTTGTTTGAGGCCCGATGGACAGAGTGTGGGTGAGATCAGGGGGATTGTAGTGGACATGTGGCTTATGAGCGCGTGATGAAGATCCAAGGGATTGGGAGCGAGGACGCATGTTAAGAGTAGTGCATGGGAACAGAAGGGTGATTGTAAAAACAAGGTTTAAGGGCTTGAGGCCCATTTTACTCTTTTCTCTCTCTCTCTCTCTCTCTACACCAAAATAACAAACATGTTATATTTTTAGAGAGAGAAACTCTGGCTTCTCTCTAGTCAATCGAAAATCGCCCCGCCAACCGGAATCACTTTCGCTGGCGGCTTCAACCTTTAGCCACCGTAGGACACCCTGTCTCCCTAGATTTTCGGTTGAAGTTCAATCGGATCTTCATCTACTCTGTAGGGAGGAAACCTAAAATCGTTGAAGATCTTCAACTAAATCTTAGAACCCTAAGGGCTCGTGAAAAACCCTAATTAAACCAAAAACCAGAAACCCCAAATGTTAGAACCTTAACCCTCATCTTGATGAATCCTAAACATGAACCTTAATGAACCTTGACCCTTTAGAAATGCAGAAATCCAAAACCAAACACAAGATCACATATTCAAACAAATACAACCATAAGCTAAGAGTTCTTAGGCTTACTGTCTGATGCAGTGAATCTTGTCGTATCAACTCCTCGTCTGAATTTATGGTTCTATTTCCTAATTTCCTTCTTCTTCTCTCAGTTTTGTAGGTATGAAGATGGTGGCGGCGAAGATGCGGCAACAAGGATGATGGAGGCGCGACGGTGGATTTAAAACACATATCTAAGGTTTTAGAAATTGAAACTAGATCTCAAGCACAAAGATTGGCTCGCGGCTTCCTGCTTATTCTTCTTCTTCTGTTATATCTTCTTCCTCCAAAATTTGTTGTCCTTTTCAATTAGTTTTAGGGTTCTTTATATAGTTTTTAGAGTTAGATAAATTAGGAAGTTATTGTATGATTGTCGTTATACTTTGTGATTGAGAAATTACATTCAATTAGAGATTAGTTGATTTGTAAATTAGGGATTTCCGATGGCGAAACATCGACAACAAACATATGCGATGGCGAAACATCGGCTAAAAGATAGCAAGGTAACATGGCAAAGATGGCGAGGCATCACAATTCAGAAGATAAAACATCACACCTAACAATCATATTAAGAATCAAAGTAGGATAACAAACACATGCGATGGCGAAACATCGACAACAAACATATGCGATGGAGAAACATCGGCTAAAAGATGGCAAGATAACATGGCAAAGATGGCGAGGCATCAACAATTTAGATGATAAAACATCACACCTAACAATGATATTGAGAATCAAAGTAGGATAACAAACACGTGCGATGGCGAAACATCGACAACAAACATATGCGATGGCGAAACATCGGCTAAATAATAGCAAGGTAACATGGCAAAGATGGTGAGGCATCAACAATTTAGATGATAAAATATCACACCTAACAATGATATTGAGAATCAAAGTAGGATAACAAACATATATGATGACGAAACATCGGCAAAAACATATGCGATGACGAAACATCGGCTAAAAGATAGCAAGATAACATGGAAAAGATGGCGAGGCATTAACAATTTAGATGATAAAATATCACATCTAACAATGATATTGAGAATCAGAGTAGGATAACAAACACATGTGATGGTGAAACATCGGCAACAATCATATGCGATGACGAAACATCGGCTAGAAGATAGCAAGGTAACATGGCAAAGATGGCGAGGCATCAATAATTTAGATGATAATACATCACACCTAACAATGATATTGAGAATCAAAGTAAGATAACAAACATGTGAGATGGCGAAACATCGACAACAAACATATGCAATGACGAAACATCGACTAAAAGATAGCAAGGTAACATGGCAAAGATGGTGAGGCATCAACAATTTAGAAGATAAAACATCACACCTAACAATGATATTGAGAATCAAAGTAGGATAACAAACACATGCGATGGCGAAGCATCAACAACAAATATATGTGATGGCGAAACATCGACTAAAAGATAGCAAAATATCATGGCAAGGATGGCAAAACATCAACTTAAAAAGGTTTAAAACAAAGCCAAAAGGGGCATATTCAAATGATATTGGTTTGTATTTTTTACCTTGAAGAAGGATTTAAGTTCATTAGAGACGTTTTATGATTTGCCAAGAAGAAGTTTTAGTTTTAAGATGCAATATGCAAAGAAAAGAAAATAACTAAGGGAGAATATCCTAATCTCTAGCCCTAGTGTAATCATATAATGATTGATCCTAAGGTGGAGGATAAAAGGGAAATCTCTACCCTAAGTTAGCATGCATGGGTAAATATCCTAATGTTTAGCTCGAGGACTAACCCTACGCGAGCAATTCTAAGGGAGCATGGTAAATACCAAACAAGTGATCAAACAAGTGCTTTGGCAAAAGCACACAATCGGGGTATATTGACTCAGGGGATGAGGGTATGAAGAGAAAATGCTTTAGCTAAGGGGAGCGGATCACCCGAAGCAAACAAGCAGGAGAC